ATTGAAGAGCCGAAGGAGCTATCATTTCCCTTAAAGTCATGTGCGAGCAAATAGATGAAAGGAGGATATTCAATCATAGCTTGTTTAATTAGACATGAGGAAATTACCTCAAAAGAGGATGGGAATGAGGAGGCAGGGGACGGTTAATTCCTATTTCAAATGCTCTACTATCACAAATCTATGGTTTTAATGGACTTAATCCTTACTTTTCCTTCCATTTTTAGATCAAAGACCTTTCAGAAAAGTTTTGGTCAACTAGACCGCCAAATAGAGAAATTAATACTTTTGACGAGTGGATTTTCTTCTATTTCGTTTTCTGTTTCTTTTAGCTGTATTTAGCTCTAGGAAATATATTTTGCCTTTATAGGAACATGGATAACAAAATTCAAAGAAATACCAAGCTTTTCATAAGTAAAGACTATCCATATCCAGGCTTGAGTAACAACTAACAAGGAGGGTAGGTTTGACTCGGAGGAGAAGTTATCATACTCCCCACGGTTACGATAATTGAATTGGAGTGAGGGTGCTCAAGTCTTTGAATAAAATGGTATGATAAACATAATAGTAGAGTTTTGAATTGCTCTGGTTTATGGTTCCATTGTTGTTCTACATAAATTATAATGCAGACTCATGCATCTAGAGAGAGGGATGGAGATGACGTTAGCGAGGTTGGGGAGAACTGTATTCAATCTATGTTATGCGCAATATGCTCTCTTCTTAATTCCGAGGACATGTCACAGAAAGTCTTTTTACCTTCTGAATGCATCATTCAATGGGTGAAAGGCTTATATTTCATCACTAAAAGGGCAACTAAAGGAGCCTTTTTTCCCAAAGTGCCCATCCTGAGCTTTTTTTCAATTCTGTAGTTATCATGCAAAATCTGTTTAGTTCATGTGCTTATAAAACAAGACGCACAATATTTTTGAGGCAATGCAACAGGTATCATGTTAGCCAGTGAAACCCATGCCTCAACACTTAAAAGAATGTTTGAGATCCAAAGATCAAAATCATTGGCAACTAATATGGCTTATAGACTCGTTAATTTTCCTATTGGAAGCCTACTTTTACATATTCAACTTCTTAAAAGTATATGTATATAATGTCCTGAAATGCAAATGTTATTTATTTATGTTGATTGTATGTAATGTTAACTGTTTGCATAATTTTATTGCTTTGCAGTTCTGCAAAGCAATATTTATTTATGTTGATTGTATGTAATGTTAACTGTTTGCTTAATTTTATTGCTTTGCAGATACTGTAAGAAAGCAAAGGCTGTGTTTAAAGAGTTGAAGCAAAAACCTTATGTTGTTGAGCTTGATGAAAGAGGTATCCTTGATTGCCTCCACCCTCACCCCCAAATTTCTTTTTCTCAATCCCCACATGTTGTAAGATAAGGCTGCAGCTGCCAACCTTCTAAGGTTTTGTCGACTGTTCACACCGGATTTCAGTAGCTAATTGAAATTGTAACATACGTCGGATTACATCTCATTATCTTGCTATTAACCAATAACATTTTTCTACTATTTCTTTACAAGGGTTGGAACATTTTCAGTCAATTAGGCTTGTCCAATTTGAAGGGAAAAAACCAGTTTCATACATCTCTTATGTCCATGTGATTTTTCTCTTCTTTTTCTTTTGTTGCTTTAAATTGATGGATCTTCCGCCCCCATGATGGCTGAGCTAACTTTTAGGTCTGTACTTCTTCACTCTAGAAAGTTGTACACTTCACTTAGTATTTACATCTAGCAACCTGAGCCCTTGAACCTCTGGTATAATTTTATTATCCAATATAATCCACCTCCCTGTTTCATACATCTGATGATTCCAATTTGTCGAATGCCATGTGGGTGTGTTAGCAGCAGAACTGGCAGAGAATTTTCCCTTTGTTTGGATCTTCTTAAGGGGGACAACTGTTTGAATTCAATGTAAATGGTGAAAAAGATGGTTTTAGGTCATCACGTCATGCCTTTGATCTTTATCTTTAAAAATATTCTGCTTCTCCTTTTGTCAGATGATGGCTGGAGTATTCAGGATGCCCTTAGTGAAATCGTTGGCAGACGTACTGTGCCACAAGTTTTCATTAACGGAAAGCATATCGGAGGATCAGATGGTAAGCTACTGAAAACATATCTATGCTTTGGTGCCTATGGATAATCATAATCCTGTGCTTATGACGTTAATATCTGTACACAGATACCGTCGAGGCCTATGAAAACGGGGAGCTAGCTAAACTTCTTGGTCTTTCTGCAAAGAAAGATGATCTTTAAGCTGAATTTGTTACATGGTGGTTTCAAATTCAGTGACTGTAATATGAGATGCTCACCATAAGTTTTTGCAGCCTTTAGTCCCTTTTTGGTGTGTAGAGGTTGGAGAAACTGGTGATTGTAATATGGTACTCTTTCTTATTCAAGTTTAGGTTCTCTCCTTTTTGTATTTCCTAAAATTGGGAAGCTTTGGAGCAACGGTAAAGTTGTCTTCGTGTGACCTGTAGGCCACGGGTTCGAGCCGTGGAATAAGCCACTCATGCTTGCATCAGGGTAGGCTGCCTACATCTCTTCCCCGGACACTACGTGAACGCGGGATGCTTCGTGCAGCTGCCCTTTTTTTCCCTTCTAAAATTGGCAAGCATGAGCCTTGTTTTAATAAAATATTTCTTGTTAAGAGGATTCTATCATGCAGGAGGATCTGCTTAACATTAAAAGCTTCAATAGAGATATTTGCATACAGTATTAGGATAAAGGACTTGCATGTTATTATATTGTAGGTTAAAACTTGGTGGTGTAAAAAATTTATATACTCCCAGTGCAAAGAACATAAACTCCTTTTTAGAATTATGTTCTTTCAAATCATGAGATATATTCATGAATTTGGATTCATAAGTTGTTATTATCAGATGAACTGGAGATTCAAAATATAATTCTGAGACATGGAAAACTACAACACAATCATGAATTAAAGATTTAAACCCAATTGTGCTTGGTTAGTGTATCAAATTAGATCCAAATTATGTAAGGTATCCCTTTTTGGATGCTATGAGACAGTCAAATCTAAATTCTAAGTACGATTAACAGGTTTTCAAAGCTAACTATGAAAGTTGAAAGTTAGAGAAAGGCACATGGATTGTCAAAGAAATGAATAATAAAAACAACCTATGCAGTTGTATCATCGTTTTCTAAGCTCTTATATTGTTCTTGGAATTTCGAAACCTGAGACTATTTTCTGCTAGCTACTTGAAAATATTCTTAGTTTTGTTCACAAATATAAAGGAAAGAAATTCTCGTTGACTAACGATTTATATAGACAATAAAAATTACTTAATTCAAGAGACATTTCTCAAGATTTGTCCATATGACCTTTTCCTTTTTCGTGGGAAAGAAGTGCGGGACTATTTAAATAAAAAGGAATAAAGAAAAGGAAGAGAAAATAGAAAAGGAAAAGCAAAAGCAAAAGTAAAAGGAATGTAATTTGTGGGACCCGTTTGAATAAAAAAAAATTAAAAAAAGGGAAGTAAAAATCAAATTTGACATGAAATATGTCTATTCTTATGTGTATGAACGAACTTACACATCAAATGGGAGAAAAATTAATGATCATGAGATGAAAAGAAAAGTTCCGATCATCAAAGCCAGGTTCACTTTACAAGCATGGGACCGAAACACACTTCTTTCATTAGACAGAAAAGCCTAATGTTTTGGTAAGGTTTCGTAATGAAAATTGTACACTATTAGCAGGTGCAACCCGACGAGTTCTGTGGCCTAAAGCCAAATTTAATGAGGGGCCTTAACTTTTTTTTAAAAAATAAAATATTTATTTATTTGAAGTCTATTTTTATAGCGTTTCTTAGATACAAAGTTATTAATAATTTTTTTTATAATCAATAACTCCTAATAAGTCTTTCTTAATTGACAATATAGCTAATCCATTTAACCTTTCTTGAGATATTGTTGACCTTAAGTAAAATTTTATCAATTTAATTTTGAAAATTTCTTTCTGCTGAAGCAGCGGTAACAAGATTTATTAACATTAGTCCATAAGTAATATAGGCATTGAAAAAAGAATCAAATCTTTTTAGTTGACCGAGTGCATCAATTAAACTGTTATATTCTAATTATACTATTTTTTAAAAATATTTTTAATTCCGAAAATAAATCTAAATCATCAATATCGAATTGATTATTATGCTTTAGCGATCTTAATTTTTACCGCTAAATAGAAAATAAAAAATATTTTCATATGCTTCGAATTATTCAAATCTATTTTGAATTGAAAAACATAGCCTTGTCTACTATGTATATAGTAATCAACTCCAAAGGACTCTTCGCTCGGTAGTTTGGAGGTACAAGTAGCTCCATATGATGTATTATGACTTGTGTGAATCGTCGGTTTTGGTTTTCAGGTTAATCGGAATCGATTTGAAAGAATAAATTTCATGATTGAAGCTTTAAGTTAGAAGAGTTGACCAAGTTTGGCTTTTATGTATTTGACCCCGGACCGGAGTTTTTATGGTTCCGTTAGATCCGGACGGTGATTTTGGATTTGGATGTATGCCCGGATTTGCATTTAGATTTTTTAGAAGGTTTCGGTACTAATTGGCGAAAGTTGAAGATTTGAAAAAGATTTTAAGATTTTATTATCAATATTCTCATTAAATTGTTACTTTCTATATATAATATGTTTCATACGGAATTCGGGTTCGATATTCATTTCAAGTGCAATTTTCGTGACTGAAATTATAGCAGTTACAAATCCTTCTTCTCTATACTTGTTAAAGAAAGAAATCAATTTTTTTCACTTCACATAACATTTTTCAAACTTATACATAACCTATTAATTGTAAAAATGGTCTCCATATTTGGACCTAAAACAATTGCTTTAATTGCTTTATGTAAGGTCCGCCCCGACTATTAGCCGAAAATCACGACTGGAGAAAAATCAAGTCAATGTTCTTCTCATTCAATTCAATTTCTTGCCTATATATACCAGCCTATTTGCATATAGTCTTCTTCACTCATCAATATTTTGTATTAATATTCATTAAGCTTCATATTTTTACAAATATAGCCACCATGGTCAAGCTTGTCTTCCTTTTTCTTTACATTTTAGCAATTTTCATCTCTTCTTCTTGGCCAGGAAACGCCATTTCCTCATGCAACGGCCCGTGTAATTCCTTGAACGATTGTGACGGTCAATTAATTTGCATAAGGGGAAAATGTAACGATGACCCTGATGTTGGAACCAATACTTGCAAAGGCAGAAACTCTCCTTCTGTTCCTTCGTCACCTACAGATTCAACGCCTGCCCAACTTACCCTCAACGATTTCAGTAAAGGCGGAGACGGTGGCGGTCCATCAGAATGTGATGAGAAATATCATGATAATAGTGAAAGAGTAGTAGCTTTGTCCACTAGATGGTATGCTAAAGGTTCAAAATGTGGTAAAATGATACGTATTATGGCAAATAATGGGAAGAGTGTAACGGCTAAAGTTGTGGATCAATGTGACTCTATTAATGATGGTTGTGCAAATAATGTAGTTGATGGTTCCATTGCTGTGTGGAGAGCTTTGGGTTTAGATACTGATAAGGGAAGAGTTCCCATCACTTGGTCCATGGTCTAGAATATTATTATTAGGTTTGTTTGGTCTGTGTCTGGTTTGTACTTGTAAAATTTGAATAAGGTTGTCATCTTATATGTAATAAGATGGACAAGAGCTCAAGAATTAGCTATGAAATATTATTCCTAATTAATTATGTGCACGTTATTTCCAAGAATTAATACTTTTGGAGATTAATTAAGCAAAGCAATATCCTAGTTTTTACTTGTATTGTTGATATTGAAAGAGCCACTGATCTGCATTAGCTACTTATTCGTGATCTCTCTTTAGTTTCTGGCTTGAATGTGTTATATTATTATGTTTAAGTTATATACATTGTCGGTATATTTTTTTTTTATGTTATGGGGTTATTTAAAAGATATTTATAGGGAACGTTCCGGACCATAACGTTGTTGATCAGAGGTACTTCAAATATCCCCGAATATCCTCGTCAATGATATACTATCAGTCAAAGGTTTCCTCAAATAGTTCGAGGATGCTATATATTCTTTTACGATTTGTTTTTTCGTTTTCAAAAACTGAGAGAAGGGCAAAAGAGAAAGAAACACTAATTTTCAAGGTATCTTAGTGAAACATGGCACATATTGTACAGAAAATAAAAGGTAGCTTAAACAGGAATCGGAGTTTGAAAATTAATGACAAAGCAAACTGTATTTAGCCTACTTGCGACTATTAGTGGACAATCAATGTATGAATTTCAGCGCCCATTATTTGTAGTAACTTTCAAGCACGTGTTAACTGTTTAGAAATCTTAAGAAATGGTTTCTTTATCTATTCGTACGTTATAAACACTGCATTTTGAAAACGTATATAGAAAATCACACCATTTCTATTCATATGTTAAATGCAGATTCAAAAGAACCCATATATGCAACGAAGTTTAAAATACATATTTATAATAATCTCGCAGTCATTTTGATCTCACTAATATGATTCCAATAGCTATGGGCTTATTTAAATTAAATGTTAGAAAATAGTCAAAGTTCCCAAATCTATTAGTCACAAGTATCTATTTAACAATTGAATTTTCACATGGACTGTTGTAGAACGTAATGGACTAGATACAACCAAGCTGGTGAAATATCGTTTTTTTTTCAATCAAAAAATGGGGATTAAGGGTGTGTTTGGTATGAAGGAAAATATTTTTCATGAAAATGTTTTATCACTTATTTTTCCTTGTTTGGTTGGTGAATGAAAAATATTTTCTAGTGTTTAGTTAGAGAGTATAAAATACTTTTTTATGCTACTCTCCCCGACCCACCTTTTCCAAAATTCCCATGTTTCTTGTACTCCTCCTGTCACGACCCAATTTCACATATAGGTCATGATTACGCCCAACACTATAGCTAGGCAAGCCAACTAATAAATTAAACATATATCGATAAAATTTAAATCCAAGGAAAAATCATAAGACACCAAATTCTACCAATGTGTGTGCCAAGACCTGGTGTCACAAGTGTATGAGCATCTAATAAATTATACAAAAATCCAAATACTGTCTGAAATGAAAATAGACAGAATTAAAAATACAAGAAGAGGCACTGATACCTGCAGGACGGCTCAGAAAGGTAGCTCACTACTACACCCCTAGATTACGAGGATGTGCTATGATAGGTCCTCCACTAGTATTTGTCTCAGATCCTGCACAAAAAGTGCATCAAGTGTAGCATGAGTACATAAACAACGTGTACCCAGTAAGTATCAAGCCTAATCTCGAAGTGGTAGAGACGAGATGACCGACTTTGACACTCACTAAGGGTCAACAATAATAAATGGAATAAATTATAATTATTCAAATCAACATGATTCACAGAGTTAACAGTAATTTTATTCATTTAGCAGAAATAATAAAAATCCTTCAAATGCAACAATTTTCAATCTATTAATTAAATCCTTCAATTTCAATAAAAATTTTAATTTATCAAATAGCTATACAATCTGCAATTCAATTTCAATAAATTTTTAATTTATTAAATAACGTTACAAGCTACAATTCAATTGTCCAAAAATCGTGTAATTATTATTATTATCAAGCACGATTTCTGCCGAGGTCGTACGGCCCGATCCAGAGTTTCGTATACACTGTCGAGGGACATGCGGCATGATCCATAGATGCATCTATCCTGCCGAGGCGTTCGACCCGCTCCACAAGAAAGGAGGACATTTTCTTATGTACCTCCGGAATGAGAGTATATTTATTATAAGATAAATTCAGGAGGAAAAACAATCTCTCTTAACAATTAGTTAATTTAAACAGAAAAATCAAGTATAAGAGATTTCCATCCTTTAATAATTTTATCTAACAATTCACAATATAAATATATATATATATATATTAATTAAACAAAGAATACAATTTACACAAGTAATTCATGTTTTGAGTCCTAAACTACCCGGACTTTAGCATTTATAGTAGCTATGCACGGACTCTCGTCACCTCGTGCATACATAGCCCCCACAATTAGCAACAATTATTTAATTTTAATCACCTATGAGGTAATTTCTCCCTCACAAGATTAGACAAGAGACTTACATCGTCTTGCTCCAATTTAATCAACTAGTAGACCCTTTCCTCGATTATCCAACTCTGTCTGGCTCGAATCTAGCCAAAATAATTCGATACGATCATTAAAATTTATAGGAATCAATTGTATAAGAAAATACTACATTTTTAATAAAATCCCGAAATTAATTAAAAATTCGTCCATGGGGCCCACGTCTCAAAATCCAGCGAAAGTTATGAAATCCGACAACCCATTCAATTACGAGTCCAACCATACCAGTTTCACTCAAATTAGACTCCGAATAGATACCGAAATCTCAAAAATTCGTTTCTATGAGATTTCAAATTTTTTTCCAATTTCAATCTCAAAACACTAATTAAATGGTGAAACCAATGATATATTTGTGTATATAGACTAAATTCGAGTTAGAATCACTTACCCCAATGTCTTTCCTTGAAAATCTATCCAAAATCGCCTCTGCTCAAGCTCCAATTTGTTAAAAATGGCGAATGGGATGGATGCCTTCTTTTTATAAAACTGCCTAGGCAGCCTTCGGAATTTGGGCCTCGAACTGGGCCTCGATCGTGGCTTCGATCATGGCCCTCGAGCCTAGGCCTCGATCGTGGCTTCGATTACAGGCTCGAGCCTGGACCTCGGTCATGGCCTCGATTATGGCATCAAGCCTGGTCCTTCAATCATAGCCTTAATCATGGCATCGAGCCTGAGCCTTCGATTGTGACCCTCGATCTTGGGTCTCGATCATGACCCTCGAGCATTGCCTTCGATCATGGCCCTCGAGCTGGACCTTCGATCATGGCTTCGATACACAAGCTCGAGCCTGAGCCTCTTCAACCCTGGGCTCGATATCTTGGCTCGATACCTGGGCTCGATCACAGCCCAGAATGTCCAACAGAAGAGGAAAAATTGCAGCAGCTTTTTAAGTCCAACTTTTGATCCGTTAACCATCTGAAACTCACCCGAGGCCCTCGGGACCTCAACCAAATATGCCCACAAGTCCTAAAATATCATACGAACTTATTTAAAACCTCAAATCACCTAAAACGACGCTAAAACCACGAATTATGTTCCAATTCAAGCTTAATGAAACTTAGAATTTCCAACTTCTACATTCGATATCGAAACTTATCAAATCAAGTCCGATTGACGTCAAATTTTACACACAAGACATAAATGATATAACGGAGCTATAAAAATTTTAGGAACTAGATTCCGACCCCGATATCAAAAATTCAATTCCCCGGTCAAACTTTCAAACTTAAATTCTTGTTTTAGCCATTTCAAGCCTAATTTCACAATGGACTTCCAAATAAAATTTCGATCACGCTCCTAAGTCCAAAATCACCATACGGAGCTGTTGGAACCATCACAATTCTATTTCGAGGTCGTTTGCACATAATTCGGCATCCGATCACTATTTAAACTTAAACTTTTAATTTTTCATCAAAATTCTATATCTCGGGCTAGGGACCTCGGAATTTGATTCCGGGCATACACCCAAGTCCCAAATCACGATACGGACCTATCGGAACCGTCAAAACACTAATCCGAGTCTGTTTACTCAAAATATTGACCAAAGTCAACTCAATTGAGTTTTAATGCTCTAATTCACATTTTAATCCATTTTCACATAAAAACTTCCCGAAAATTTTAATCCATTACGCAAGTCGAGGAATGACAAATAGTATTTTTCGAAGTCTTAGAATACATAATTAATTATTAAATACAAAGATGATATTTTGGGTCATCACACCTCTCCCCCCTCCCCCCGGCTCTATTTTCATCAAAAATTTAATTATTTTTTTTTAAAATTCACACCAACCTAGAAGAACTAATGTGCTACTTTACTTTTTCACACAAGAGCAATGTAACGACCCAACCGGTCGTTTTGACTTTTAGAACCCCGTTCCCTTAAATAAAACTCCTCGAATGTCTTTTTAATGATTTATGACTTGCGGGGATAGTTGGTTCGGGATTTGGATGTGTTTGGGTTGAAATCGGAACACTTGGTTCCTTAAGTTAACCTTAAAAGGCCAAGTTTGACTTCGGTCAACATTTTCGAGAAAACGACCTCGGAATCGGGATTTGATGGTTCCAATAGGTTCGTATGATGATTTTGGACTTGAGCGTATGTTCGAATCGGGTTTTGGATAACCCGGTAGCGTTTTGGCGTTTAATAGTGAAAATTAACTATTTGAAGGTTTAAAGTTCTTTAATATTGGTTTGGAGTAGGTTTTTGAGTAATTGAAGTCCGTTTGGAATTCCGGGTTTGGGAATAGTTTCGTATAGTGATTTAAGACTTGCACGCAAAATTTCGTGTCATTCCGAGTAGTTTAAGTATATTTCGGCGCATTGGAAGTAAATTAAAGAACTTAAAAATTTTAAGTTTGAATTAATTTGGTTTGGGGTATGATTCTTAGATTTGATGTTGTTTTACACGTTTCGTGAGTTTGAGCGAGTCCGTTTTATGATTTCAAACCTGTTGGTATGTTCGGGCGGGCCCCTGGGGTCCCCGAGTGTTAACCGGACGAGACTCGGATCAATTTTTGTAATTTTGAAGAAGAGCTGAAGCCTTCTGCCTCTGGTACGTTTGCACCTGTGCTTGGACAGCCGCAGGTGCGACTCTCGCAGATGCGAGGTTTATGCGCAGAAGCGAAAGAGAAGGGGAGGTCTGCCATTGCAAGTGCGGAATCT